TATATGTGTGTGTGTGTGTGTGTGTGTGTGTGTGTGTGTGTGTGTGTGATGGGTAAGGAACTGCATGTGTGAATTTAGATATTTTATTTCTCTTGTATTTCTCTTGTCAGGGCGGCTGTGGCTGAGTGGTTAGAGCAGTCGTCCTCCAATGCAAGAATTGGGGGTTCGATTCCACCAGCAGTCACATGCCAAAGTGTCCCTGGGCAAGACAATGAACTCCTCATTGGCTCTGATGTGTGTCCCATCAGTGTATGAATGTGATAAAGCACTGATTCAGATTAGCTTTTTATAGATATAATAGAGGGCTGTATGAGTGGGTAAATGAGGGCACAGATTGTTGTAAATTGCTTTGAATGTCTTGATAAAATAGAAAGGTGCTATACAAGTACAGTCCATTGTGCATATTATTTAAATCTATTTTCCTCTATTTGTGTGTTAGAGGTTGTTGACTGGGTGAGGAGAAGTTTATTTGTTGTTGTAACTTATTATTCAGCACGTTAAAATGTTTAAATAATAAAATGCTAAAAAAAATCTATTGAACTCCTTCCTTCATAATTTAAGACGATAATTTAAGTTAAACGTTTCAAATATTCCATATATTTGGTGCTTTTTAGTGAAAAATTAGTTTGGTGAACTTCTGCTATGTATTTTTCATTTATTTTGTAAATCTTAAATATTTAGTTTAGATGTTTATCGTTTGTGTGGCACGGAGGAGAAGTAGTTGGTGCTGTCGCCTCAAAGCGAGATGGTTGCAGTTTCACCTTTCAGCCTGAAACTCTTCTGTGTGCAGTTTGCATATTCTTCCCATGCATGTGTCATTTGTCTCTGTCTCCTCCGGTTTCCTCCCACAAACTAAAACATGCATGTTAGATTAACTGATAACTCTAAATTGTCCCTAGGTGTGAGCGAGCTAAATACAATACAGAAAGGTGAGGATAAAGTGGTATGTACCTGAACTCAAACTCAAGTACAATGGTTGAAAAAATGAAAGACATAGTAGTACAGTAGTCCCTCGCTACTTTGCGGTTCGTTTATCATGGACTCGCTCTATCGCGGTTTTTCAAAATAAGATTGGGCATGACAAACAATTGGCTGATTGATGGATGAGCACCACGATCGGCATGGAAGTTTCATTTTAAACAAAATTATTTTGAATTATTTAGCACCTGCTGCACCTTTGTGCAGCCCACAGCTGCAGAAAAAGCTTCCTATTGCAGCTGATCAGCTGTTCTCCGTGCAGAGCAGAAAAGTGGGCGTGGCCAAGAACGCTTGCAGGTGGCTGAGAGCAGCGGAGGTAGAGGGAGGGAAATCATGACATTCTCTGCTTTTTAGAGATTTTAGAAACATTGTTTAGAATATTGAAAGAATGTGGGAAGAGTTTAAAACACCTTTATATATATATATATATATATATATATATATATATATATATATATATATATATATATATATATATATACACACACACACACA